TCTGGGCAATACTAGTTTCATTAAGTGAGTTAGAGATATTTTCATCTTTGTATTTTCTGGAAGCAATTATGTAGAATCCATGCTAATTCTTCAAAAGTTCGGTAGAATTCTCTAAAGAAATCACCTGAGCCTGGAGATTTTTGTCTTTAAAATAATTGTTTTTTCATAGACATTGTGATTTCAGCTTTCTCTGACTCCTGCTCTGAAGACCAATAAGGAGGAATTGCTCCTGGATCCCCACAGCAAGGTTTGGGGACAGGCAGCAGGTGTTTCGAGAACACTGTGCCTCTGCGCAGAAGTAAGTTCCTACATCTGCAGTCTGGGCGCCCATGATGTGCAGGGAGCTGTCCTTTCTAGTCTGTCCAAACCAAGCTATCAGTCTTTTCTTCTTCACCACCTCCCCAGGTTTGAATAATATCATCAAGAGAACAGGGCTTCCCCCAGGGCTTTGCTTATACCACTGTAAGCTATTAAAAGCGGTTGAGGAATTGCAGTATGTGGTGAAGTTCTGTCCTTCTTGTAGGAGCAGGAACTGAGGAATTTGATTTAGTTGTAGTCCATTCACTTCTGTTCAGAAAAAAAAAAAGGGAGACTTCAGAAAAAGTCTGATCAGATCTCTATTCTCTGAGCTACAATGGTCTCTCTCATTCTTGTCCATTTTTCTTTTTTCCGTGTTTCCCTTCCCAAGCCTTATATCTTGCTTCTTAATAGTTTAGTTTGGTTTTTTCCCCAAAGTTTCTGCTCTCAATCAGAAAATCTCATTCCTGCCGATGACTGCAAATAATACTCCACTATGTTGAATTCTCTGGAAGCAATCAGAGAAACCTCACACTCACGTGATATGTGCATCCGTAGGAACAACACTGGTACTATGAGCAGCATCTCCCTCTTCTTCCTCCTCAGAGACAGTTGATGAATCTGACTGCTCCTAAGTGGGTTTCCTTTCTACAAGCTCCTTCCACACCCAAAGAAATGTGTTCTACCACTGTCTTTTGGAAAGAAGGGGGAAGGAGTGACTGCAATTTGAGACAACCAATCAGACTTAGCACTATTTTACTCACCCACCTTCTGAGGAGGGTCTATGTTTGCAGATGCTGCCACCTGGTGACTGGACTGAAAAAAAGCTAATTTTATAACCCATTCCTGATACAGTGCTTTCTAATTCAAGTGATATATGTATTTCTCAAGGTTGAGAAAAAANCATGTTGCTGTGTAACAAAATACCACAAGCTTTGTGACTTAGAACAATTCCCATTTATCTCAGTTTCTTTAGGTCAGAAGCCTGGGCACAGCTGAACTGGGTCTCACCAAGGCTGCATCAAGGAGTCAACAAAGACAGCTGTTTTCTCTGAGGCATGGGGGCCTCTTCCAAACTCATGTGGTTGTTGGCAAAATTTATTTCCTTGTAGTGGTAGAATTCATGGCAGCTTGCTTCCTCAAGACTAGCAGGGGAATCCCTCAGATCTCAGGAAAAGCCTCTTTAAAGAGCCCACCTGATTAGATCAGGCCCACCAACCTCTCCTTTGATTAACTCAAAGTCAAACTGATTAGGGACTTGATTTACATCAGCAAAATCCTTTCATCCTGCCTACAACTTAACTTAATCACAGCGGTGATATCTATCATCTTCTAGGTCCTGCCCACACTCAAGGGGATAAGTTATATAGGGCATGTACACCAGGGGGCAGAAATCTTGGGCACCATCTTAGAATTCTGCCCACCATGGTGGTGAATGCCCTCATTGTACAGGTATATTATGATTTTTACATTATGCCCATTATGTAAAAGTTTTGTGACTGATTAGCAAAGGGTTAAGAAGAAAGGAATGTCAACAGAGCAAATGCTAAAGAAATATCCAGTAAGATGATGACTAAAAAGATTCATTTCTAAGAACAGAAAGATCATGATTTGGGCCTTTTCAGCAGAAGCTAAACTTCAGTGGGATGAGACATGAAGATGAGATAAGGGGGAAGAAAATTAGGATATAGCAATCTCTTCCCAGAGGTTCAAATCTGAAGGTGGGGAAAGAGAATTGGTGTTAACTAGACAAGGATGTTAAAGCGGGAATAGTAGGGTTTTGATAGATTGGGATCTATTTACATGCTTTGGGAAGGGTGTATAAGCAGTGAATCAAAGTTCTGAGGAGACATGTAGGATTGGAATATGGGCCACAGGTAGAAAGACAAAGTTTTGGTAGAAAGAGGAACAGATATTTCCAACTTTATTGGAAGGAAGAAAGGAAAAATTGGTTTAGATTTCAATAAATATTCAGGGTGTGAAGGCCGAAAGTTGAAACATCTATTAGTTTGTAATGGACTCTTTTTTTGTTCTGCTATCATAAATAAGAGAAATTAAGTGCCTCCCAGGAGAACGAATGGAGAAGATTCTGGGTTAGAAAGTCTGAGAAGTGTGAGAAATCTTGAATTAATCACTGTAGGAAATGACATGGGAGATGATTATGGAGAAAAAGAATAGCTTGTTAGCAACACTGTTGTTCTATGTAGTATGGAAAATGAAAACAGGTTTCAGTTACACTAGTCTGATTAGCTGGAACTCTGCTTATTAGACAAGGTATACGTTATAAGACGGCTGATATTGATCCATGACTGGGAATTAATAAGATCACTGATATGACAGAATTGGGGCAAGAACAATGAGGTTAAGGATTAGAGACTGACTGAATAATGGACCATGGAGATTTAGTATTATAGATAAAAATAAAGATAAACCTATGAGACATAAGATGACAATAAAGGGACAAGGGGGCTAAATTGTCAGATATAGTCAAGAAACAAGTACAGCAGAAGTAACTGTGTGGGCCTCTAAGGATGAGAGGTTTTAAACAAGATGTAAGATTTCAGATGTAGAGCAATATCTAACTAGACAATTATCATCAGGGCTTTCCAGAGTGTGACCATGGGCATTAATGGCTANCCCAGGCTCAAGGGAAATGCTTCTTTACACACCTTAACAACTGTCCATGAAACTGTATTTGCATATCATAAAAATTTGTGAGTTGTACTGCTACTGACATAGAAGGCAAACTCTGATTTGGAATTTGGGGTGATTTGAGGTTAGAGAAAAGAAAATTTAATGAACTAGACCAATCTTTCCTCTCAGATGGCATGGAAGCAATAGATTCTTCCATAATAAATACTGTTTCCCAGGAGTGCTGCGGGTCCATTTTCTTGCATCTCTTATGTACTCATCTTTGGTTCTGAAGGGTGCTCGTTAATCAGCATAGTACTCACAACAGTTGTTCATGATGGCTGGAACACTTTGTAGTATTAAACAATATTACTTTTAAGATGTACATATTTATTCTAGCCTGAGCCCATATAAAGAGTGATATTATTTAGCAACTAGATGGCCACTGAAACAAGAACTGTAACAGTGAAATGCTGGAACTCTCTGGCTCCCTCTGGTTCAAGCTTGTATTGTGCCCATGGCGATCAGGCTAATAGCCCCTGCTTAGTCTTGTATATAGACATGCTAATCAGTAGAGGAATTCTGCTGGCAGCTGGAGTTTTAAAAAACAGCCCCACCCGTTTCCCCTTCACTGGACATAAAAGAAGCCTTAAACGCGGGACTTTGTTAAGATGGATTTGAGGAACCACTAGGGCTCCCATCTTCTCAGTTGGCACCTTATGGATCTATACACCTTTCCTTACTAGAAACTCTGACATTTTCGGTTTTGGCCTTTCAAAGCGTTGGGCACACAGACTTTGCACTGGTCACATTGTGAATAGTTCTATTTTTAAAAAAATATTTGTAATTAAGTTTTAAGATAAATTTAATATCAAACTTAATTTTCAATACATTTTAATTAAAATAGTGGATCGTTAATTTTTATTTGTATTCTGCTTTTTAGCTTTAGTAGATTACTTTCAAATTACTTTAAAACATTTTTGGAAAAACATGAAAATAATTTTAGTTTGTGCTCTTGTCTCAGACACTATCAGTAATTATCCTCTGTAGATGGATTTGGAGGTAAAGACGATGAAAATGAGAACCTATCTATTTTCACTGATGTATATAGAAAAGGAAGGGATCTGCAGACACTGAAGAACAGATGAACTGTTCAAGGATGTTGCAAATGTTTACCAATGGCACTGTAAGAAATAGAGTAGAAAAGTAAGTAAAGCTGATTAAGGAATCACTAACTATTATGGGCACTTGGTGAATATTAGAGAAGTTGAATTAGAAGAGAGAAAAAGAGGAGAGAGTCTGGATGGGTCTGATAAAGGATGGGTCGGTCACTCATACGACAACCAACCCCAGGGTTCCACGTGGAAATTTTGGCATACTCTTGTGTGTAATTTAGAATGACTGTTACTAAGAACCACTGGATATTTCCTTCATACTATATTGTCTTTGGTAAGGTCACCTTGTTAGGTCACACTTTCTTAAATGCCAGGTTGATTAAGTCCACCAATCTCAAATACTTGAGTGAAAAAGCTGAAGTCCTTTGAGGAAAGAGGCCTCTCAGGTTACCAGTAAAACAGTCTGGAGATAAAATAGCTTGAAATAAGCAATTGCCCTNGTGGTGCTAATGGGGCGGGGGGAGCAAGACTTTGGTTCTGGGTGCGGCTAGATGTCAAGGTTCTCTCTTCTGCCCATGTTTCAGCTGTGTGACTTGGGGTTTTTGTCTGGTTTCTCTGAAAAGCATTTCATTATCTCATTAAACAGGATAGGACCATTTTGAGCTGGTTCTGAGGTTACAAACCCTGTTCTTTTTGAGGGGGGTAATGGATGTTACGTTAGATGGGCATGATTAATTAATTATTGTCCATTGGCAATTAAAGTCAATCTGCAGTCCTTCTCCCCTCATTGAAGGAGCGGAGGTTGAAAGTTCCAACCCTCCAATCACATAATTGAGTCTTTTGGCAAACAGTCCCCATCCTTAGGTTACCTAAGGGCTTTCTGAAAGTCACCTGATTAATATACAAAATTACCTTTATTGCTCCCATCACAGGAAATTCAAGGGATTTGAGGAGCTGTGAGCCAGGACCCTTGTAAGAAGACCAAATATCAATGAGAAATATATTTTGGTCATCTGAATAAACAAGCACGTATTTTTGTTATAAGTCACAATGTCACAGGAGGACATTGAAATCATTCAAGTGAGAGGTATTGAATTCCTGAATTAGGAAAATAGCAAACAGGGAGTAGAGAAATAAGGGAGTGGATCTGAGTGCTGTTTGAGACGTCAAACTGACAGGACTTGGAAAATTATTGAATGTGTGTTGTGTTTCATTGGCATGCTGGTACCTATCTTTCATGAGGAATCTGTTTATTCAACTAGCTCTTGTGGTAGTTTGGCCAAAGATGCTTCCAATGCTCCATGCTTTCTGTATCCCATGTCTTTGTGTGCCCATTCCACACTGCACCTGGATTGGCAGCATCACTAACTTTAATAAAAAGACTGCATAAGAAGTAACATGTGACAATTCAGAGACTAAATATTAAGATGGCCTGGCAGCTTCCATTTTCACAATTTGGAAGTCTTGAGCCACCAGGTCAGAGGTACAGCTTTCCTTCTAGATAGTCACGTGCAGAGGCCACATGGGAAGGAACAGGCCCGGAGACTACCTCAGGAGGACACGAGCTCAGCCATCTCAGTGTTCCAGCTCAGCCCAGACTGAGGCTCCAGATATTTGAGTGAGCTATTTGGGGTGTTTCAGTCCAATTGAGCCCCAAGATAGAACATGGAGCAGAAATATCGTGAGATAGTGAAGTGACAGCTGTTTAAAGCCATTGAGTTTTGCAGTGGTTTGTCATGCAGCAAACCCCAATGACACGCAAATTCTTTGTCGATGAGTCTCATTAAGGATTTGCGAGTAATTGGCAAGAATAAAATTGTGTTTTTCCCTAAGTGTCTCTACTATCTCAACCTGAAACATGTACTTATCTCACCAAACTTCTTTTCAAACATGGTCTTAGCACCCCTGTGAGCACAGAAGAAGTGATAGCCATGCTAAGTT